CCCGACTCCGGGGGATGCCCCTTTTAGTTCTAGCTGCTTGCTGTAAGTCCTTGTAGATGGAAAGCCAACCCCCCCTCCCCTCCCCCCTCCCCCGTGGCCAGGTGAGAAGATGTGATCAGCTGTGAACACTGGCTCTGCAGAGATGCTGCACATGTGGGAGGCATTTCCCTGGCTTCCTCTTGCCTCCGCTCAGGAGTTGGATCCAGGTAGCTGTGACTGAGGGTCTTCTGTGTGTGACACTTGGAGCTGGGGCTTCTAGTCTTCTGGCCACCCCGTGAGTGCGTGGGGGTGAACAGCCTCCTTTCATCGCTAAGGACACTGGCCCTGCCTGGGGGTCCGTTGGCGAGGTACCTAAGAGATGGTAAGTTTGAATGGGGAGCTTGGCAGTGTCAATGACGAGAGGGTTCGGTTTTTATTTTCCATTTATTTTATCTATTTATTTAATTGGAATAGAAGTTGCTGTATGACGCATTAGTTTCAGGTGTACTGCATAGTGATTTGACAGCTCTTTACATTACTCAAGGTGCATCGCGGTAAGTGTAGTTAGCATTTGTTGCTGTACAAACTTAGTACAGTTTTACTGACTATGTTCCCTGTGCTGTCTTCTCCATCCCTGTGACTTTATAACTGGAAGTGTGTACCTCTTAATCCCCTACACCTGTTCATCCACCCCCACCTCCCCACCCAAGGGTTGGTCTTCACCTTGAGACATACCTTGTCTGTTAGCCTTGAGGGTGTGGCTGAGGGCTGAGCTTTTCTCCTGGGCCAAACTGCTGCTTTGCAGGAAGGTTCTGTTTGGTGTCCCTCCAGCCCTCAAGTTTTTACAGAACTCTGTCATTTATCCAACACCCAGTGATAGTGTGTGATGCCATGAGGCAGATGATGAGGTCCAGGGAAGACAGAAGGCTAGGGGTCTTAACTGTGAGCGTACTGGGGAAACTTTGGCCAGAAGGTTTCTTCTTTCATTTGCGAGGTACTTAGGGGCTCTGTGTAAAGCTTGAACTTGTCTCTTAAATGCCCTGGACTGAGCCCATTACTCATGCTATCACCAGCAATAATAAGCCACGAGGTTTTGGTTTTTGTTTTTTTTTTTAATTTGTATTTATTTATTTTGAGAGAGAGAGAAAGAGAGCATGTGCATAAGGGGCAGAGGGAGGGAGAGAAAGGTCCCTAAGCAGGCTTACCGGTATCAGTGCAGAGCCCAACTTAGGGCTCGAACTCATGAACCATGAGATCATGACCTGAGCTGAGACCAAAAGTCAGACTCTTAACAGACTGAGCCACCCACGTACCCCTGAAGCCCCTGAGTTTTCATTTGCAGCAGCCAGAGATGTGGAAAGGGGGTTGTTTTCTGACTCATGAAGTCACACAGGCAGAACCACAAATAAGAGACTCCAGTTGGCAAAAGCCGAATTGCTTGAAGGCTATTCTTGGAAACTAAAGCATCACGTCTTGTTTCTTCCCAGAAAATGCAGAAACCTTTCATATTTCTGGGTAGTTGGTTTTATTTATGTTTCGTATCAAACTCTAAAAAGCAACAGCTAGGGGGTAGTTGACAAGGAAAATTTTAACAAGAGCTCTTACCCAGGATCCTCGGATTTAAGTAAACCTTGACTTTCTTTTGGGGAAGAAGAAAGGGTATCCACCAAAAGAATTACATGGCAGTCTCTGGAAGAAGGAAGGGCTTGGAACTCAGACTTAAAGAGCTCCCCTAAGTCAGCCTTTCTAGTTCATTAACAGAACTACTTTGTTCCAAGGATGTTTTCAGTTCATTACTGAAACTTCCTTGTTCCCCAATTTATATTTGGCAAAACTTAAATCTCAGAAGTTAAATGAGTTGTCCAAAGCTCCACAACCATGATGTGGATTTGAACCTGAATATTCTGAATTGAAAGCCCACGGCTTCTAGTCTTAAAATGCATATAATTCCTTGACCTGGGAATCTAGTCCCTTCCCTCTGGTTCGATGACGCCATTTGAAGGATAGTAATGAATGCTGGTTATCATGTCGCTGCTAGGTGCTGAATACATCACATTCATGACTGAATTTCTTCCTTCCAAGCCCATGGAGGGAATGTGACGCTCTCCTCTTACAGATGAGAAAACAGGCTGAGGTATGTTAGATCACTTGCCGAGCAGGGGCGCGAGACCAGATGCATGCCCTCATCTGCTAGACTCTAAACACTCTGAGGCTCTTCCATGAGGAAACCTACCCCTCGTGGGTGTCAGAGTTATTTTTAAGGTCTTTGACTTCAGTTGGAAAGCTGATTTTACAGGTTGGGACCAGACCCTTCAGAGTCAGGGGTGCAGATCTGAGCCTTGTGCGAGTTGCTGGGGTCTGCCAGCTCTCTCCACCCCTCTGAACCTCCCTCGAGATAAGAGCGAGCTCCTGGAGCCCCTATGCCCACCCAATGGCCTCTGGAGCCCTATGATGTTCATTTCTCTTCCGGAGGGTGGGGGGAGGAGGGGAGGCAGCTGGTGTTGCCAAGAGACAGGTTCTTCCAGTTTGTAAATGATTCTCTGGGAGTCGAGTTTGGCTTGATACCTCCAAACAGTTTACCATCATTTCAGGCAAGGAGGAGTTGACAACTTGGAGAATCGAGTTTGCAAAAGTGTTTTTCAAAGCAGTACATTGCCCAGGCACAAATCCCACAAAACCCCTGCCCGATGCCAGGGGTGCAGCACAGGTCTCTGCGTCTGCCGAGAGCCTCCCAGGGTCAGGGTCTGCCTTCACACACATATCTCACCCTCCACAACAACCCTGCAAGGTGGAGACTCTCATGTCTCTCACAAAAGGAGAAACTGAGGATAGGAGCTTACGTGGCTTATGTGAGGCCACGAGGGCAGCCAGGGGCCACGCCGAGCTTTGAACTTGGGCTCTGATAGCCTCAAAACCTGTGGTTTTTTCCTCCACCACCTGCCCGGCCCCAGAAAGGGCTGCAGGGTACCAGCTGAATTCAAGTGGTTTTGTGTTTGTCCATCTGCTGCCACATCCTTTATTCAGCGCTGGGAACAGAAGTGGATCCAAGGATAGAGAGAAGCGAAATATTTGTTCGCTCTGAAAAGCAAAGGAGTCTTGCTCTCTGTTTACGCTGTCTTGGTGGCAAGTCTTGTACCTGGGAGAGAGCTGAAGCAGGAGGAGGCTGTGTTTATGTGAGCGGTGCCAGAGTTGAGCACTGCAGATGTCCAAGGAGCTGAGAGAGCGTTCATGTGTGCACTTCTGTCTCCCGGACTCTCCCAGCTGCTGTGCTCCTTGCTGCCTCTGTCCCCCGTGCGTCCCCGCCACCTCTCTTCCCAGAGACTCTTCTTAGCCCACGGCTCTGTTCTCTGCACCACCCAGCCCGTGGCAGAAGCAGGTCCCCTCCATGATCTACCCTGGATACCTCCCACCCCCACCCCTTGTCATGAGTTCTGAACTCCAGACACCTTGACCTTGCTGTCATTCTGCAGCCCTACAGGCTCTTTCCAGACTCAACCCTGTACGGTGTTGCCTTTGCCTGAAAGCACCTACTCCCTGGTCTTCTAATGAAATTCACCTTGTTCCTAAAATTGTCGCATTTTGGACCTTTCCCTCCCGTGGCCCCTCTGGCTACCCCTAGGCTCTGTCGGACACCTCCTCATGTGGCTTCCATACACTGTGTTCACATTCTAAAAGCACTTGCCTGTTGTCTTATAATCAGCTCTTGACGGACCTGTGTTCCTCACCAGGCCCCATCTCTGCACCCCCAGCACCTCGGGTGACCCGTGGCCTCTGTTTAGGCACCAGTGATTGTTGCTGAATGAATGAGTAAAGGATTAAGGAAGAAGACAAACACCATTCTCTGCTTTTAATATTCTTAAGGCCAGCCCACAATCCGAATGTACCCACAATAGCATTTCTGTCTGGAGAGTGGGAAGCCGCCCAGCCCAAGGGCCTTGTCTGTGTGTTTGCTGACCTCCGCCTGCCAGCCCTCTGTCTGGGGGAGCTTGGAATGCCATATCCTCTTGTTTACAGACCCTCTCGAGCCCTCCCGACAGCTGGGCCAGCCCCAGTTCCTCGACGCTTACTGTCTCGCACTAGCTTTGGATTCTGGAAAAACAGCTATTGCTTTGGAAAATCAGCCCTAACTTATTTTTGTTCCTTTGAAACTGAAATGACTTTCCGAAGAAATGCCTGAGGTTAGAGCGGTGCACGGGGAAAGGCCGATGGCCCAAGCCCCGGGGAGCTATTTTGGTGATGTGAATGAATACTCATCACGGTTTTCTTTCCATCAGCCGGGCACTTGTTTCAAACAGCTCACGGCTCGGGCTCACAAAGCACAGCCTCCTTTTGTCCATCGGGAGGAGGCCCACGTGTGTCTGTGACTCCGTGTGTCTGATTGAGGTAGATGGTGTGCTTCCAGCAGGCACTGGCAGTGGAGAGAAGTTTCGAGAAGTTGCCTTGCCGTCTGTCACCTGCGCAGGGGAAAGACCTCTGGTAACTAAACGAAGGAAGACTTTAAAGTTTGGTGTCTAAGGTCCTGAAATCTAGGGAGGCGTGTGCTTTGAAGTTTTTGGTCTCTGCTCTAATCTCATGTGGTTAGATTACACTAATGTTAGTCATCTAATTCGCAGCACCACGAATTAGATGTTTTTGGTGGTGCTAAGTCTACTGTGCTTTTCTGTTTCCCCCCCTTTTACTAGTTAGTATTTCTAGAACTACAGCATCTGGCTCACAGCAAGATTGCCCAGGTAATTCTGACATCAGCCAGGGTAGATCTTTGAGCAATCTGTAAGTATTTCTTTTTAGCCAGTGAGGGGAGTGCGGTGGCAGTGGGGAGGCGGAGGTTGCCAGCAAGACAGCATTGCCCGGTCAGAAGATATGATTGTACATCTCCTATAGATGATTTATGTTTAGCATTCATTGTTATGTTTAGAGCGTTTAACATCTTAAAGGAATTGTATTTTTCCTCTCTCGGCACCCATCCCCCCACCCTGGCCTCACTGCCACGGAGCTCACCTCTGCCTTCACCTACTTTGCAGGTGTGACCTTTCTCCAGGTGCTTGATGGTGTTCTCCTCCATCCTCTCCACACCACTGCTCTACGCGGCTCCTAAAACATGGGGGAAAACGAGGACGAGAAGCAGACCCAGGCCGGGCAGGTTTTCGAGAACTTTGTCCAGGCTTCCACATGCAAAGGCACCCTCCAGGCCTTCAACATCCTCACCCGACACCTGGACCTAGACCCTCTGGACCACAGAAACTTTTATTCCAAGCTCAAGTCCAAGGTGACCACCTGGAAGGCCAAAGCCCTGTGGTACAAATTGGACAAGCGTGGATCCCACAAAGAGTATAAGCGAGGCAAGTCTTGCATGAACACCAAGGTAAGGGAAAACCCTGTGTGGACGTCTTTTACCCTAGTGGGGTGTGTAGGTTGGCTTGTTGGGAGGTCAGGAAGTCGTTGCCTTCTTGCCATTCTGAGGTTCTTAATAGGTGTGGGTGTGTGTGCTTGCTTTGCTCGGCTGAGGGTCTCCTTTGTACGTGCACAGCTTGTCCTGGGTGGGAGCTCGTGTCTTCTGGTGGCCTCAGCCGCTTGTGCCCTCCCCAAGGCAGAGGGAAGAAAGGCATGCTTGGCATTATCTCCCTACCGTTGCCACTGCCACTACTACTTCTAGTAGCTACTATTTATTGGGCAACTTCCGTGTGCCGGGCACTTTATAAACCTGGTCTCAATGAGCACTACATGGTCCTTTGGGCCGTTTTAGAGCTTTGGAAACCAAGAAGTCCATTCCCTTGCCCAAGATCACACAACAAGAAGGCAACGTTGGTCTGTCTGATTCTAGAGCTTCTGTCCAAAATTCCACTCCCCTGGGAGCCAACACTGTAGAGAGATCCCTTGACTTTAATTGACTAAGAAGTAGGTCTTTGATCCTTCCTGCCTTTTTCTCCCCCTCCCTTTCTCTCCTGCCGCCCCACCCTCTTCCCCAGGGAGCATTTCTGTGCTCGTAGTTTCAGTCAACCCTCCACAGCTGGTTATGCCCTCCATTGCTACGACCTTGGTGAACATGGCCTAAGCAGCGCATCACAGATCTCTTACAGCACCGCACCGCCCGTTGCCGAATGGGCAGCCGGAAGTCATGACTTCCCGGCTGGCTCTTGGGGGCTGTCAGCCCTGGGCAGTGGTCCAGACTGTATGTTTAGGTTAAAAGTGAGCGTGCCGAATTTAGACCTCGCAGGAGGTGGTTCAGCCAGAGCCCTTGGAATTTCAGTTGGTGCCAGTCCCAGACGAGAGGATGGAACTCTCCATGGCGATCAGGACTGTTGTGTTTTTGTTTTGGTGATGAGGAGCTGTTGAGTGTACCGTGGGATACGGCTGCTTTCCCTTGCCCCTGGGGAGACAGCTGCTAGAGCTCTTCCAGGTTTGGGGCGCGCTGACTTTATGGGGCATAGGGAGAGCATTCCAGCAGGCCAGCAGTTCAGCCGGAGCGCTAGCCATCCAGCCGGTGCCCGCTCGTAACCCGCCAAGCTTCAGCCCTATGCAGAGGAGACGAAAGTGTTAAAGAAAAACGAGAGCGAGGGCTGTAACTAGTATTCGAGGTACCACCTGGCCTAGCTGCTATAACTTCATGGCTCGTAGTTCACTGGGGAGCTCTTCAGGCTTAGAGAGGGGTCACCGTTTGTTTTCAAAGCATCACCCTTTTCAGTAAGTATGTGTCATGGCGTTCTTTTAAAAAGGTCCCAGAGAGGTCAGGTGACTGGGCTGCAAGACTTTTTCTCAGGGAGCTTTTCAGAGGTCTTATTAGGAAATGCCGTGGCCTCATGCATGGACCCATCAGTTTCCAGCTGTTGAGGGGACCTTCTCGGGGATCTGAAGACAGACCTTCAGACGAAGTGAGCTAGCAGGGGAGATGGAATGGAGCCTTGACCACCAGGAAGATGGGCATTTTTCAAAAATCGTGACGGTTGCCTAGCTTGTCTGGCCGGCCCCTGTTTCATAAGCCTTGATGGGTGGAACTGGAAGGATCCTTGTGGACTTTTGCGGTTGACAGGTCGCCACTGGGGCCTGAGGTACAAAGGGACAGCACTAACATCTGTGGCCGGTGATGCTGGGTGAGGGTGTATCTTACTCAGAATTTTACACCTTGTAGGAGGAAGAACAGAGACATTTCAAATGCGTGGTAGCCTATCTCATAAAAATGACTTAGATCCTGAAGCATGGAAGACACATTTGAAAACATTCTCTAGGTGCCTGGGTGGCTCAGTCGGTTGAGCCTCGGACTTCAGCTCAGGTCATGATCTCCTGGTTTCTGAGTTCGAGCCCCGCGTCGGGCTCTGGGCTGACAGCTCAGAGCCTGGAGCCTGCTTCGGATTCTGTGTCTCCCTCTCTCTCTGCCCCTCCCCTACTCACGCTCTGTCTCTGTCTCCAAAATAAACATGAAACATTATAAAAAGAATGAAAAGAAAATGGGCTCTAAGTATGGCTGTGGCTGTGTGAGGTCACTTGAGCTGCACACTTGAGAAACCCAACTCAAACCTAAACAAAAAGGGAAATTATTCACTTGTATAAACCTGGAGGTCCAGACCCTCAAAGTCTCTCCCCTCATCTGCCCTTCCTTGTATCTCTTGGATGTTTTGCTCCATGTGGGCCCCATTTTCCCCCACTACTAACACGTTTTCTCCATGTTGGTGGCCCCTGATTCATATCTTTATAGCTCTGTGACCCAGAGGCTAGACCCTCTCCTCCTGCTTAATACTGAATACAGTCTCAGGGATGGATTATGATTGACCCATCTCTGGGCCAATTATTGTGCCCAAACCGAGGGAAATGGCTACTGTCTTTGGTGGCCCTTTCAAGCATTGCGTGATTGACATGAGGGAGGAGCAGGTTCCCAAGGTCATAGAGGTATGAGACAAATAAATAACAGGCGTCTTCTGTAGTGACTATTTATTTGCATTCTGGTTATGGTACAGTCTTTCTCCATCCTGGATTCATGTGGATGGGTAATGCCCTTCTCTAAGAGCCTAGCGCTTATATCCTCCTTGCTGTGAGTCAAACAAAACACAGAACATGGCTCCTCCCTGTCTCCTGGCATGAACAGACACTGTCTCACTCCTCACCCACACACCTCGCTTGGGTATCCTTGGGTGTAGTGGTTAATGGTGCGCATTAGCCAAACAAGAAATGCTGGGTAGTAGCATGCACATGGATGATCATTAATGCTGAGCCATGTAACACGGGTGTGTCAGGTATCAGGCGTAGAGCCAAGCTCCGGGTCAGGCCACAGTTAGAGTAGAAATTAATGCAATTCAGCCAGAATCCACACCTTTCCACTGATGCAGACACATATTCACACCATCTGGAGGGGATCTGGGCTTCAGCATCTCACAAGCATTTATTAGTAGCTACCGTGTGTTCGTCATTGTGCTGCTTCCTTTATTACAGTGGTGAGTGGTGTGTGTGTGTGTGTGTGTGTGTGTGTGTGTGCGCGCGCGCGCGCGCGCGGGCCCGCGCACGTGGTATTGGTTGGGGGAGATTGATCAGAATTTGTTTGGAGAAGAAAACCTCTGGTGGAGTTGCCAGGGGACAGGGAGAAAGTCAGACAGTCATTAAAGCAGTGGTTTCAATCTGACTTGCATAATCTAACTTGGGATCATTGTTTATTATTGATGATTAGTTATGAAGGTTCTGTCGGGCACTTAATCATTCTTTCCCTGGGTGTGATTTGTTTGGATAAGGATAGAGTGAACCAAGGATCGAGCCGAAATAACTCTTTTTGGACTATTATTGGCTCTGTTTTACGGATGTGATCAAATGTCACATCTACCTATGGAATGTTCCTGGAGAAAATAGCCCAGAAGGAAGAAAAAAAACCAACAATACAAAGTTTGGTATGGAAATTTCCATCATCACAAAATCATGGAGTGTGGTCTCTTATATGTACCCAGTACCAGAAGAGACTTGAGAGAATGGTGTGTACAATCTCTACATTTGACAGGTGACATACATGGGGGCCCAGGACACTGAAGCCATTTATGTGAAGCTAGCAGGTGGCATTGTCAGGATTGGAGAACTATTGATTGGTTTTGCTCAAATATTCTTTTGTTCATTCATTCAGCAGGTATTTCCAGTACCCTGCTCCTTACTAGGCACCTGACAGGGGAGGTGGCTTGAAAGATAAATAAGAAGTGGCTCTGAGTGGTTCAGGAGACAGAAACATAATTATTTCTGTTTATTAACTTAGTCACTCATGAGGCGAATAATGATTGAGTAGCTACTATGTGCCAGGTACTTGTTTAGGTACTAGTCAGCCACTAAATAGCTCTGTGGCCTTGGGCACGTTACCTAAATCGCTGATCCTCAGTGATATTCTCTGTAAAATGAGGATGATAATGGTCCTTCTCTCATGGGGTTGCTGTGGGGATTAAATAAGACAAGCTTTATGAAATATTTAGAATGCTGCGTAGTACATCCTAAGTGATGGGCAAACATTTAGCTGTTATTTTTAGTGCTCTCCTAAGTGTATGAGACAGGTGTGCACCCTGATCTGCAAGAGCACAGAAAAGCAATGAGTAAGTGTGACTGGAGCAATCTGGGAATGCTTCCTGGAAGAGGAGGCATTGGAGCTTGACATCGGAGTAGAAGATGGCCTTGCTGAGCTGAGGGAACAGAAGACGGACAGCTGTATTCCTCGAAGACCAGAATGTGTTGCTGTGTAACAGGAATGAAGGGGTGGATGGGGAATGGGGAGAGGGGAGAGAGCAAGAGCCAGAGAAAGCAGCATAGGTGGATGGAGGGGCAGACCAGTGAGAATGGCCTCCTGAGGTCAGAGTGTGAGGAGAGGGTCTTGTCGTCAGACAGAGGACCCGGGGGACCATTGAGGATGAGCTCCAGATTCCCAGTCCAGCGTTCCTCCTACCGCCTCCACGGGGTTGTCCAGTAATCACAGATAACCAGTACAGACCAGAAGGCGTTTATACATCACCGCCATAAAAACATGGCGGTTTTCCTTGCAGGAAATGACTCACGGGCTCTTGTCACCACGCTGAAGTGGAGCCAGCCTCTAAAATGAAAACTGTTGGGCTCTCTTGCGAGAAGGAAATGGCTGTATTTTGGGAACATCCATCAGGGGGGCCACCCCCGTACCTGTTGTCCCTTGCCCATCTCTGCCTCTGCAGTGGCCCCGCCAGTGGTGGGTAGCCCGGGCTTGGGTGGTGCGATTGGCTCCTGAGGTTCATAAGCAGAGCGCGGCAGGAGGCAGGGAGGCAGGGCAGGAAGGGTGGGCTAGGAGGGAAGGCTGCTATCTCCTGGCTGAGATAAGGCCATCGGACATTCCGGACCTCTGAAATCACCCACCCTCCAAGCTGGGCCCCGAGCAACGCTGGC